AATACCTCTGTCCTGGTGAATACACAGAGTAAATGGGGCTCTTCACTCTGTTTCTTTGAGGAAGTCAGAGTGTGTCGAAATTCATGTCATGTGGTTTTTAAGAAGTGTGTTACAGGTGACTCTGACTGATAGGGTGTGATGAGTGAGTATTTAGCAAGGAATGCTTCGTCGATTTGGGCACATAGAAAAAATGTACGAGGAAAGAAAGACAAAGCAAATTTATGTTGCAGAAGTGAATGTTCTTCAGAGAACTTTCGTCTAGGGCATCTCTTGTCGACTCTGCGGCAAGAGATGCCGTCGATGGAAGCTTATCAAACAAATTGGCGATTTGATGAGTATAAACTAAGTTAAGAGTACCCACAACTGACAACCTTGTATGCCTATCAGATAGATATATGAAGAGAGCTGGATATATAAACATGAAATAAGCGATAGAGGAGTGTCAGGATCGTGCCATATTCAAGTACTTATATTATTTATACCTACCCCTCCGGATGCCAGGCGTGTTTTTTAATATGAAAAAATCAGCACTTCATTACTTATCAAACCAGTGTTCAAATATTTAGGTAATATGCAAAATAAATATATCTTTTTGATCCTTAGATAATATATATAGTCTCGGATTGGGGGAGACTATATCTAGTCCAGTTTAACTCCCAGAAAACACAAGTTTGCGCGTTAACCACTAAAAAGAACCCCTTTGTCGTATCTCCTTAGTTTCAAGGCACCCCTCTTGTTGCCTCAGCCAGTGTCGGAATCCTCGGCGTCGACATATCGAGTGACGTGCAGTTTCGTGGTCACTTGGAAGAGAAGGCCAAATTGGCCTCTAAAAAGCTCGGCGTGCTCAGCAGAGCGGGACAGTATTTCATGCCGGCACACCGCCTGCAACTTTACAAGGCGCGGGTTCGGCCGCACATAGAATACTGTTCCCATCTCTGGACTGGGGCTCCCCAGTACCAGCTTCTTCCACTTGACCGCATCCAGCGCAGAGCGGCTCGAATCGTCGACGACCGAGTGCTTTCCGATCGACTCGATTCACGGGCGCCACGAAGCTTTCTTTCGCATATTCCACGGGGAGTGCTCTGAGGAATTGTTCGGATTAATCCCAGCCGCCAAATTTCGTGAACGCACTACGCGGCAAACGTCCCGATACCATCCACACCATCTGGATGGTTGGCGGTCCACCACTGTACATTTCACAAGGAGTTTTCTTCTGCGTACGACCTCTCTGTGGAATAGTTTACCACCGGCGATTTTTCCGGACTGGTACGACCTCAGGCCAGCACTCACTTAACATCAGATGAGTCGCATGCTCGTTTGCCCCCTCTTCTATAAAAAAAATACTTTAGTTTAGAAAAACGTATTTAGGAGAGAATTCGCCAAAAAGGTTATTACGGTAACTTTAATTTTTTTTTCTATATTAAAAAATGCTTAACATAATATTGTAATGTTTTAAGAGTAGTCTGCCAATTCCCACTGGAGCAATATTGTAACCGTCTCATAAAAGAGGGAAGGCCTGTATCCAGCACTAGGATGTATTAAGATGTAACTTTAAGTGTATATTTTAAATACATGAGAAGCGTGATGATTATTTAATGTATTCAAATTATACTTCGTGGTAAATAAAAAAATGACTTAATAAGTATTATACAATCATGAATATTGAATAAAAAATCATTCATTTCATTTATAAAAATCTGTCACCTATGTATACATGATAGAGCCACCTTGCAGCTATGTTATGGTTGTATCACGAAAGGCTCAGCTCGACCGTGGAAGGACTACGCTGTCACAGAATACCAGCGTAAAATGGCAGCTTAATACTGCTGTGTTTCGTTTGGTGAGTGTAGAGAACCGGAGACCCTTTTTTACTGGAAACGAGGCATTCCATCTTAGTCCTCAGGGGTGACAACGCATTTGCGTTTTGATTTTTAATCGAGGATAAATGTAGATGTCTATGGGCCACAGTATCTTCCATATTATTTCATTATATGACTGAACTGCGAAAAAATGCAAAAAAATCTGGTAATAACGTACTAATATACTCTTAACTCAGTATAAGATGTCGAAAGTGATATTGCGGTCGACAATCCGCTAGCCAAGCGCATCAATTACGAAAAAGCCTCCCAATTTAAAGATATTTCCTAAAACAATTAGTTAACAGTGGTAGAGCCATGCTGCAAGGTGATATTAGTAGTATAGTTGTAGCACGAATGGGTCGGCTCGACCGGGGAAGGACCACGCTCTCACAGAATACCAGCGTGAAATAGTAGCTTAATGCTGCTGTATTTCGTATGGTGAGTGTAGAGAACCGGAGACCCTTTTTACTGGAAACGAGGCATTCCATCTCAGTCCTCACGGGTGACAACGCATCTGCATTTTGATTTTTAATGGAGGATGGATGTAGATGTCTATGGGCCGCAGCAACCACTTACCATCAGGTGGACTGTGTGCTCGTTTGTCACCCTATTCTATAAAAAAAAAAAAAAAAAAAAAAAAAAATATTTCCTAAAACAATTAGTTAACAGTGTAAACATGCCAAGGTGATAGGGCTGTCAACAGTACTCTAAATTGGAGTATTTTAATATTTTTTTCTCTAAATACCAATAAAGAAAGATAGAAAGAGAAGCTCATCTTCTTGGTAGTGCGTGTCAAGAAGTTAAGCATACGCACACCTCCTACCAACTTTTTTTTTTCATCAGCATGTACTCGTAAAAGTTTACTGTTGGACTCCCATATATGTACCTAAAATCATGTTGTTGGTTGCAAATGATTTAAGATGCATATTTGTATGTCAGTGCGCGGCCTTATAATAAGTTAAAACTTAGTTTCGTCCTGATTTTTGCGTCACGTAAAATGTAAGCAGCACTCCGTCATTCTTTCTTTGTCAGTCTGAGTGTTTAGTTAAAATTAAAATAAGCTAAATAGCATTTAATGTAAAAAAAACAAATTTGAACAATAATATGGTTTTGAACGAAACATAAAATAAAATATGAAATGTTTTCTTTGTTCACTCTATTTTGTGTACTCGTAATACAAGTAATATGCACAAAACACAATTTCAAAATAATTTTAAAATTAGAATTTAAATTAAATTAAATTAAGTTTTAAAGTTTCGCGCTGTCTCTATCGCTTTATGTCAAAGTGACTGTGCGTAATAACACTAAATGACTCCTTAAAATTGTGTAGTGTTTGAGTAGTTGGCCATTAGTGTCAAACAAAATTAATAAATTCACGCCAAAAAAATTGACAACCCTGTTCATTTCGTAAAGGAGAGCGCTTTATTGGCCTGCAATTAGTTGGTAATTTGTTAGCTTTGAATTAAAAGATAACGTAACCAGCAAATAATTTATGACCGTTCTGTTATTCGTAAACAAATGGGTTAGTTAAAATAACCAGGAATAAAAAGTACAATAGGGGTGGAAAAATTCAAAACTTGGTGAATACTAATACCTACATTTTTTCATAGGATATAGATGAAATGGTAAAATGAAAAATGTCCTATATTTTTTAATAATTTGCACTTTCTGAAACACCAGTGATCTTTGTGACCAAAGTACGAATCACGTTAAAGTTTTAAGGATTATAGAAGCGTCCAATTTTAATGAAAAAAAAGTAGTAACAAAATAGTCAAGTAGTAATAGTAGTAATCAAATTTAGTTCTTGGTGTTTTAAGAGGCGTCTATGAAAAATGCCTGAAAATTTTTATGGAATTCAATATATATATTTATTTAGTCCACCTAAATACCCATACCGGCAGAGGAACATGCCTAGCATTGAACTTTTAGGAAATTTGAATAGTGTCGTAGACCATTCCGAGTCAGCATTTTCAATTTAGAGTAGCTAACGGGGTTAATAATAGTAGAGATATGTATATCCTTATTGAAATGAATAATTAAATAATGATTTTCAACGTTCGTTTCATTACATATCAAATACCAATGTTTATTCAATCCAATGCAGTTAAAACATTTAGATTTGGCAAACTTCAAACGGTTTAGTGTCTAAGGCAATATATTTGAATAATTGACAAGTCATTTGAAGGAAAAAAATAATAAAACTTTGAAACAATAAAATTTCAAATTCGCAGTCACTAATCTGCAAGTAAAGCGTGACGATCACAACAAATCCTACAGCAGCAGAGGCCAGCTGTCCTATCCAGCATTGGAATGTCATTAATGCAATCTGATAAAAAGGAAACTAGACATAAAACAGTTTCAAAGCTAACCATTCTATTAGATACTAAAAATTATTACTATTATTATATGTATATATGATACTAAACATTATTAAATGATACTAAAAATTATTGTAATAAAACACAACCAAGTTTTTATACTCGATTGATAAGATTATAGTTTTGAACAAAATTGGTGATTGACAGCGAAACTAGAAGTTCTCTTTTTAATCCCCATTCTTATCTCCCTCTATTTTTGTTATTTGTAAAGAAGAACTATAAACCTGGATTAAAAAAAACATAGTAAAATCTTTAAGATATTTTAATCAGATATAGCGTAAAGTATGCACGAAATTTATTAATGTGCATTACGTGCTCGAACCCAGTGTTCAAGTAAATAAATAGTCGAGTAAGTTAGGTCAGATGAAATAGATTTTCTCTTTTATGCGAAGTGAAAAGTATCTTAAAGTACTTTCATATATATTTCATCTATAAAACACGAGCATGTTCCTAACTTACTCAAGTTTCATTTAGCGGTGTAGTTAGTATATAATTTTGTTTTGGAAATATTTGAAGTTTTATTTGTATCATTGTAAATCAAAAAGAACACAATTAGGTAAAAATGATCATAGTCTTATGTTCCAAGTAACAACCCTCTATTGCTAAAAATTAGAAAAACAAAGAAAAAAGAAAAAAAACTTGCGCAAAATACACAGTAATGAACTAAAAGTACATAACAATTTTTTTTCTCCCTTGGCCTGATTTTCTGGAGACAGGCCACAATGTGTAAAATTAAAAAAAAAGCGTATTAAGTATGACATACCCGTGCGCGCTACGTCCTGTCACTGCGCCAGCGTCTGTAGACTGACTCACGACGCGTCGGACGTCGGTGGATTGTCTTCCGAACGCTGCCTTGACCTTACAAACAACAGCTGTACCTGGTTTATTTGGAACAATTTCAATCGTGGATGTCAAAGATGTGTTTCTCCTTGTTTCTTGGTCCTTTATTCTTGCAAATTTTTTTTAATCTTATATTTTAATTGCTGGCAATTCTAAACTGGCAGTTTAATACGTCAATGCCCTTTCCATAATAAATAACCCTTATTATATATGCATATCTACAAAAGAAACCAATTTATTTTCTGTAGGTACATTTAAATATTTATTAAAGTACCAATACTGGATGTATTGGTACTTTAATAAATATTTAAATGGTGGAGGTGGTAGACCTTTGTTATGATTTGGTGATAATGACCCCACGCCTTTGTTATTATCAAATTATAATTTTATCCTGTAGAAAGGTACTGCATACTGTACAGTTCTGCTGTATTGTGTCTGGGTTCAATCTAATTATGAGTTCCTGGTTTCGGATCTGGTTTGTTTTGTAATAGATGTATTTTAATTTGCTGATATTCTTCTATAAGTTAAGTGGTAGAACCACGCTGCAGCTATATTATGGATGTAGCACGAATGGGTTTCTCACAGAATACCATCGTAAAATAGAAGTTCAATGGTGCTGTGTTTCGTATGGTGAGTGTAGATATCCGGAGACACTTTTTTACTGGAAAGGGGGCATTCCATCTTAGTCCTCAGGGGTGATAACGCATCTGCAGTTTGATTCTTAATCGAGGATAAATGTAGATGTCTACCAACCACAGCATCCAGTTACCATCAGGTGGACTGTGTGCTTGTTTGTCTCCCATATTATATATTATAAAATAATTACGTAGAAGTTCATTACTGGAGTAACATTTCCCGTTTCCTTGGCCACTCGCCAGGTGGATTGGCGATTAATATCAGACAAAAAAAATCACTCACCGGGCTTTTTTTAGTTAAGTTAGCCTAAAAATAAGAGTGGCATAAAGCATATTCATTGTAACCGTGTAATGAATTCTTCTGATGATAAGAGCAGTCTCTAAAAATATTGCTTGGCAGATTTCTCGCACTATTTACGCTGATGTCCGTCGTCTGTCTGGATATTTTATGTCCGAAAAGAGAAAGAAAGAAAATGGGTGAAAGCTGGTGCTTTTTTGGAAACCTGTTTCCAACAGTGCTAAAAATAGTACCGATTGTATCATTAAACATAAATATCATTAATTAGATAATCAATTATTATGAGGGAAATTTGCCACGCTCTTACAGAATTCCAGCGTAAAATAGCAGCTTAATGCTGCAATATTTCGTATGGTTAGTGTAGAAAACCGAATTCCCTTTTTACTCGATATGAGGCATTTCATCTTAGCTCTCGGGGGCAACAACGCATCTGCAGTTTGATTCTTAATCTAGGATACATGTAGAAGTCTATAAGCCACAGTACCCACTTACTATCTGGTGAACTGTGTGCTAATGTAGATGTTTATGGGACACAGCGTCAGATGGACTTTGTGCTCGTTAGTTGCTGCCCTTATTCTATTAAAAAAAGTTGCTACGCTTGGCAAGCGGGTTGGCAGTTTTTATCTTCTGTTGTTATTAGGAAGATCCTGCTGCCCATCTTCTTTTTTCTTTCTTTTTGTCACCAATAACGACATCTACGGGATGATATAAGGCAGTGGATTTTCCTACACCTATTAATTAAGCATTTTTCTATCATTTATTAGGGATATTTACAGCTGGTAAAGGTTACGTTTATTATGTACACGGAGTAACCTGATGCAGATCAATAAATGTTCCAAAAGTCCGTAAACATCTGGGGAGAGCTTTAGTTATTACGCATGCGCTAGAACTGTGTTACCACGTCTTTACTTTTAAGATGCCTAAAAATTAAGCTGAAATTTTAAATTTAAGAAACTCCATTAACCTTTACTTTTTATACAACTGGATAAATGAACTTCTTAAACACATTGCTTTATTAAAATCTAATTCAAAGTTAATTTAAAAATTAAAGTAAAAATGTAAACTTACAGCTTAGATAATAGCTGGACGTACTGGAAAGACGCATTCTGAGTTCATATTTGGATTTTGGAGCACATAGGTTTACTTTACCTACACCATAGAAAATATAATTGCTCATTATGCAATAAGCATTTTCATTGGTGCCAGCAAGAATCGAAATCGAATTTCAATTGCAAACATAAAATTAACTTTTAAATTATTCGTTTATTAAGTAGCTTGTAATACTTTGTGTGTCAAATTCGTTTTTTCTAAGCTTTTGACTTGGCTCTAAAGCGATTTGAACAAGAAGATTGCTCTCATTTAGAAATAAGAGTAAGCTTTTTTTTAAAACAAAATCTATTTAAAATAAGAAAAACTATGATTTGATAAAGATATTGAACTACAAAAAGGAAGACTAAAAGACTACAGTAGTATTTTTAGGGGGAATGCTATCTTTTGATATAGCAACTTTACAATAAAACGTCAAAATTACGAACTGGAGCGAAATTTACACACTGTTATAAATTTTTAATATTATGAATGAAAATGTACATATAATAAAATTAAATTCAAGTACACGATACATTACTATTAATGGAAGTATTTTGAAATATTTTTATTCGAAATAATAATTTCAAAAAGAAGTGACAATAGTTCGTAAGATACGCGTTATCAATATGTGCGAAATGTGTTTGAAATTGTACAAATTTATTGTTGTGTATTAATAATTGTTGTTGTTCTACTCATAGATTTTAGTGTTATTGTTGAAATAGTCTTCCGTGTCGTATCACATATCAATTGTTGTTTGTTGTGTAATTCTCTTGCGTATAAACGAGTTGTGTAACAGGTTGTGCTTTATAAAATTGAAGAAATAACATTAGCCGTGAAAGGTGAGATTGCCCTAATTAACATTTGTAGTTATGTTTAACATACGAAAATCATTAATTCAAACAAAATTCATAAAAAAAAAACATTATCACATAAAAATATGTAGCCGACATCTATCCATTCATTGCAGATTATATTGAATATAGGCGTCCTGTAAATATTGCCTCATAAAGGGATTTTGCCATAACTGCCACGCTGCTGCTGCCCATCCCGGTTTCAATTCCCCTCTGTCACCCCTTATAACACCTTCGGGACGATATGGGGAATGGATAATAGTGCACTGTCTTAGTCAGAGAGTAGATAATATAATTATTACGTTTTAACCTAACGCTTCTTTGTTACTTTGATGTTTAACAGAGTGGAAAACGTTGCAATATTTGAATATAAAAATTGCAAAAGATATTTTTATGAAGTATACACTGGATTTTTCCTTTATTTAAAACATAATAAAGACCTCACAGTAAATACCAAAGTGATATCAAGACAATAATTTAATAACTTTAAGCGTTTTACCTACAACTTTAATACTATCTCACACATAAAATCGTTCAGTAATAAAAAGTAAGTAAGAGCCTATCTTAGTCCCACTGCTGGGCTCAAATATTCTCTCCAAAGGGTTATAGAGCAATTAATCAGTCGCACTTCTCTAGTCTTCCCTATATTTATATTCCTCAAAAATAAGAGGTTTCTTCAAGATATTTTCCTTTACCGTCAGGCACTTTGTAAATTATCACCTGAAATTGCAATTAACTATTTCATTGGTGACGAAGGGATTCGAACCCTAGTTGCTCGCGTGCTTTGCGGCGAGCGATTCGCCTCTATGCTACTACAATGCTAAACTATGTCTCGAATCAATATTTTAATTTTATAATACCGTTTCAACCTATTATAGTCCACTGCTGAAAATAGGCCTCCCCCTTTGATTACCTCACCGGGGCGAGGAGGGGGGGTATTTGCCTTACTTACCACGATTGACAAGCGAGTTGACAACCGCAGTTTTTTATTTTAGTCGTTACTAACCACCCAACCGTCCAAGCGGAAGACCCTGCTGCCCATCTCCTGATTTGTTTCCCTCTGTCGCCTTATATGACACCCACGGGATGATATGGAGTAGAGGGTATTCTTACACCGCCACTACATGGTAATTTTAACATAAGAAATATGAAAAATAAATTTAATATCTGGGGGCACGGCAGTGCCCGCGCCAAGTCGAGCAAAAAAGCGGCACGGCCGTACCATACTTTTCTCGAAGCAATTCAGGCCATTTTTAACCCCTATAACTTCGTTGTGTATAAAATTAGAAACTTGAATTTTCAGAAATCAAGCAGGCATTATATAGACACGGTATATTTCAAATTTCATTCAATTTAAACCAGTAGTTTGGGAATTATAGTTAGTCAAAGCTTCTTAATTTTGTCACTCACTGACTGACCGATCATCAAAACTCTAAGGCACTTGTAGCAGACATAGCAGCTTCAAACTTAGAACACAATTAGTGTTTAGTGTATAAATCAAGGAATAACTAAAATATTTTTCAATTTCAATCCAGTTTTCTAGATAAACTAATTGCATAAATAACTTTGTAATCCCATATAAATATATAGGTCTTCAAAGTTACATTTGCAGTGAATTAATCAGTGTACCTGTATATATATAATATAATGGAATAAAAGGTATAGATAGGTACTTTGTCGGTAATAAAGAAGTAGAAGGTACCGGAAGGAAAAAAGTAGGACTATCTGCAAAAAAAAAATGAGATGCCAACAAAAACATAAAAAAACCAAGTCTCGCAACTCAGTTCTTCTATCGTAAAAAGTTGTGAGATCCATGTAATACCAAGTCGGTTAATTTATTTAGTCCCTACTTAAGGGTCCTTCTGTCTTAAGTTATTACGTAATTAGCTAACATAACAATATCTTATTGTGACCATTTCAATATTAAAAATCTTTTATGGGACCTTACTACCATGAAATCAGCTCAGAAATGAGCGGAGGTATATGCCAAGCAGTAGGTTCGTACTTTTCTTTTTTAGTAGTAATAATCTTTTTTTTTTAATTATAATAAGTAAATTACATATTTCTTCCACATTTTCATCTAACAATTTGTTTTCTCTTCAAAGCACTTGATTGGCGGTTAATAAGTATCAAATCTAAAACCACCTCAGAAATTAGAAGAGGACTGTGTACAGCCGTGGAATGTACGTTCGCTGCTCATAAACCTCTATTTCTTATGTAGGTCAGATG